CATTACATACGATGGCCAGAAGCAACACACATCAAAAACACTACTTCAGAAGCAGTTGCTCGCGCCTTCGTCGAACGATGGTTATCAACTTTGGCTGCCCTTCGACCTTCATCACAGACTGTGGACGTCAACTCAAATCTGGAATTTTCCGTTGTCTGACTACACTATTATGGATCCTAAAACTCCGAACGACCGCCTACCAACAGCATGCTAACTGTGTGGTATGATGATGTTATCATCAGTCAAAGCCTCACTCTCAGCTGTAAACGTTTCAAAGTGGACCAAAGCTCTTCCGCTCGTTTACTTAGTATTCACTATGCAGCGATTGCTGACACTGTAGCACAACTCGTTTACGGAACCACACCCCAACTTTCAAAACGATTTGTAGATCTCTCATCTTCGTCGATAAATATGAATCTAAGCTCTTACACCAGCAAGTTTATAAACGCTATACGTTCAGTTGAAGCTGTTTCCATTCGACCGCAGTTAACTGATGTTCTTTGGGAAGGGCCTCCCAAAATATAACTTTTCACTGACGTTGTATTGCATTTGAGGAAAGGTTTCAATCAGAATAAAATGTTAATGCCTCCGAAAAATCCAAATTCACATTGAGGTAAGATGGAAAACAGTGGATTTTTAATATATTCGTCATTTTTATACACAGTGACCGAGAAAAAATGAATCAAGTGAGAACTAGAATACTAATGTTCATGAACATATGTGAAATTACATGGACCAACTAGTATTTACATTGGTAACAAACTACCAAAGTGTAATAGGACTGAGTGGACACAATTTCATCAAATACTAGTTGTGTTTCCGGAACAACATCAGGATTAAACCTCTTCACTAATGCACTGAATTTATATTGACACTGATACCATAAATCACACGCAGTTTTATTAGAATGGGAATAATACTGTCAACGTAATATCCAGCAATCGTATTGTGTGGAATAAATCTGTAACTGCTTTGGATGACTGGTTTAATCTGCACTGTGTTGAAACGAATCGAAACGAATCAGTTAGTGTTTATCAGGTAATAATCGTTCAATATAACGTAAGCAACAAATGAATGACTAAATAGACAGACAATCAAAAAAGGGACATGGGAAAGATTCATGTACGAGGAATTCAAATAAGTCAAATACCTGAATGCAAATAAACCAATATTAACCGAAATAATGAACTTGACAAGTCACAAGTGTAGTCAAATATCCTATGCCAGACGTCCGTATAAACCTCCATATATAACCACGATGACTAATGAGAAAATGTTTATAGCTGATATCAAATAAATCAAGGGCGTGATCTAGTTTTATTCGTTGATCGTTCACCAGCTCTAACTCCTTGACCAATAAAAAGGCATCAATTGAACAAATAAACATTTTTAGAAAGAATACCAGATCTTCACCGGATAATCGTGGGTCAACCTATTGGAAAACTATCGACCTTTCCAAATGGTGATTAGTCAAAATAGTTGAGTACATACTGATATAAAAAGCACATTCCTCTGTCATATCACAAAATTTCCAAGTATTGGTTCGATAGACGGATAAAGCAAAGTATTGGTAATTGAACAGTTAGTAGTTCGACGCGGGTGTTTGTGCTGTCGAGCGTGACTGATAGGAGATGAAGTTTAATAAGCATGTTAGTAGCTCACGTCGTAAAGCCCGTAAACGTTACTTCAACGCCCCTTCTCACATTCGCCGGCGGCTTATGAGCGCTCCTCTGTCGAAAGAGCTTCGATCTAAGTACAAAGTTCGGAGTATGCCCATCCGCAAAGGTGATGAAGTACAGATTGTTCGAGGCGAGCGAAAGGACCTCAATCCTGCAAAGGTCATCCGTGTCTACCGAAAAAAATATGTAATCCATATCGAGAGGCTCCAATGTCGTAAAATGAATGGCGCATATGCACCTATCGGCATTCACCCATCTAATGTAAGCGTTTATTTTATTTCCATATTCTCTAGGTCGTGATACACAAATTAAAGTTGGATAAAGATCGCCGCTCATTGCTGGAACGCAAAGCTGCTGGAAAACTAGCTGGACAAGACAAAAATAAATACACAGAAGAAACTATTGAGTCGTAATTCGTAATACACATTTTTGTGGTAATTATGTTTTGAATGTCTTCCTGAACGTTTGTGCTAGTATCCTTTGACAGCTTGTGGGTTTAATCAGCCTGTTGTACCCTGTTTAACGTAATCCGTCATAGTCCAGATTTGTACAACAAAACGTAGGCATATCTATATGGTCCTCATATATTGCTGTTAGCATTGCTTCTAACTGCTCACCAAGTTAGCTCTGTTCATTCTTGTTAGTCGGTTGTAAAATTGCTAGTCACTTAAGTAAAACTGTCCATCTGTTAAGAGCTAACTAAAAAGATATAAAATTGTGCGTATTTAATATATAAATTTTTTCAAATACTGCGATTGATGTACCTTGAAATGTCGGGTCAGTGTTCTCTTGAAACATGGATTCAGTTTGATCTATCTATGGGGTACAGTCGTTGTGATAATCTCGACAATAGAGCGAAAATATTGTTTGCTGGTAATTGTCTTGATCTTTGATCAGGCACATTAATAGCCACTTGGTGTGCATCGTCGGCCTGATTGTCGAAATAAACTACAATTGTTGGTTCAGAATAATGGTAACGTTAGTCGGTAGATAAATTTAAGCGTCTTTTATAAGCGGTTTGAAAAGTGGAAACCAGTAATAACATAACAGAAAGCCATCGGTTTTTAACTGAAATCTGACAGTTGTGCGTTGACCATAATCACCGGGGCAAAACATCATCAGTGGTATAAAAGAATAACTGCTAGGGAATTTTGGATGACAAAAGTATCAATGGTAGTAATAAACAGACACGAGAATCTAGTGGATAGGGTTCACAGTTTTGGTCGATATTCGGGACTGCAATGTATAGCCTCCTGCCACCGTGTCCATGTCAAATAACTTTGTCATAGGGTCGTCACAAGTCTGAGTGTATTTTTTTATGTGATAGATAGTGGGGTTCGATATAAATTCGGTCTGATCGGAGACTCATTAGGCGGATGTACCTGCAACCCAGTGTTGAAGTTCGCACGAGACCGAGCTCTAGGACTTTCCTATAAACATATCCAAGCTACCTGATGGTGCTGGCTTTGGGTTTGCGTAGTCACAGCAGCTAACAAATTTCTGGAAACAAGACCCAAATCTACATACCAAAAATTAGATTCTACAGAATGGTTCCGAGAAACGACATAATATTGAGACTGAGTGTTTGGTGCTGGTTGATTCGTGAATATTTAGCTAGAGCTTACCGGTCGCGCATATCCAGACTCAATAGTCTGAAACTGCAGGTTTGGCTAGTGACCTCATTAACTGCCCTACGCTCCACTGGAAGCAGTAGGCGCAAGTATTTTTTAACTTTGCTATTCCTAGTTTTCTTCCTACATGTCCGTATTGCATGTATTTTGTGCCTAAATAAGTAAATTGAGAATAGTCGAATATGTGCCTACACGTTTTGCGCCGAACCGTCAGTTGTCGTTAAGTTAATGTATCTAGCAGTTGCGAAGACTAGTGCTGGCTCGTCTCATGAAATCGACCTATTTGAGGAATGTCAGGGCGGGTTATGCTAATCTAGACTATCTCTCAAGCCGCTAGCCTGATTTTAAAGGACCTAATACTTAGCCTATAATTCCCAATCGGTCGTTTAGGTATACGCGAGCAATCCTTCGAAGACACCTAGGATCAAGTAACAGAAAACTGTGGATGTCCTGTGAGCTCAGTGGACTTTACAGCCATAATACCGAAAACACCCCTGGGTCGGCAAACTAACATCTCGCTTTTACCACAAGTTCAGAAAGTTGGCAGGAGCTGAGGCGGCTCCCTCGACTGGTCAATTACTGGCCTACGTGATCAACCCTTATTCTCATATAGTACCGATTGTCTGCTGATATAAGATGTCTCAAGCCGAAGTAATATAGATCCCTGATAAGCCTTACATTGTTAATAACTAACTGTATAGACAATTTCTTGAGACATTTTGTAATGCCTTTATTTACTAATGACGTCGCAAGTAGGATACTATCATTCGAAACAATAGGGTCTTTTACCTACACACTGAAATCGCCTTATTATTTTCCCTATCATTATCGTAATGGTTGTTAGTTGCATAACCTGACTTCTAATCATTAGCCCATCAGTTTGAGACTTGTTACACCGACTTTGGCTTGTAAAGTTGTATAAAATAAGGAGCTCTTATTGTGTCAGTCAGTCAGTAACAACGTGGAACTTCGTACGTACGTACATCAGTTCGAGTTGCCACACCACATTAGCACAGAGATGCAGTGGTCGATTCAAATCCCATAGTGGTAGAGGTAATAAGAGTATAAGCAGTAATCGGGAAGATTAGTGTTTGAAGATGTTACTTAAAGAGTATAATAAATTTGGGAAGAGAAAAAAAGACAAGGAGGAATAAGGAGATCAAAATTTGGGAGAACACAAAGAGTGTATGCACCTGCGCCACTGCAAACAATTTTGAGCCATGTCATTCAAGGTCTCTAACCATCGGTTGCTATCATCTCTTTTATTGTGTGGTTCACGGTCAAGTACATTAAATTGTACTTATACACTGTAAAATAAGTCAACAAGTAGTAATAATACCACTAATTTTAATAATATACACAATGACAGCAAATACAATACTCAAAAACTATTGACGTCAAAAATTAAATGTCAACAGATAATAAAGAAACACTTGAAAAAATAGTAAGGGATGCACAGTAAATCTTCATATGTAGAATGTTCAAATAAACCATGAATTTTGAGAAAAAAAATATACAATTTGTTGTTTCATAGAGTTAATTTTTAATGCTGTTAGTATGACTTATTCAATTGGTAAAAGCTGAGAAGAAAAAAGTATCTTACGATGTCGGTTTACTTTAAATCTTAGTAAGAAAGACAGTAAGAAAAAAAAACATCCTGGCGAAGAACAACTGAACGTTTATATTTAGTTCAAGTTAATGGGTGCATATAATTTGACGATGATGTGAGAGCTCTAGGATCTTTGTCAGATTTTTTAAAATTTTTCAAAATTGGATAAATGTTATTAAAAGCTTCATAAATTTCTTCACGAACCTTTGCTCCTACATAATAATAAAAAGAGAAATAAAATGCATATAATAATGTTAGTAGTTTTATAGACAATTATCTACATATTCAATTGAGTAAGATAGTCTTAGGGTTGATTGGTAAAGTATATCGCTGTACCACTAATAGCTGTAGGATAACTTAATTGTCGCACCTTGATTTTCCCTGGATCACTGTGTGTATGATAAATGTACAACTAGCAGTGAAAGTATTTAGCCTGTATCTACTGAATTGCAAGTTTCACAAAAACCTCTTTACCTATTTCAGCTTAAGCAGTAAGCGCTTGTATGTGAACATGTACTTGGTCAGTGATTACGATGTTCGACTTCCAACCACAACTCTAATTACTTAGGTCTGGATAATCGAGTATTATCATTATGTCTTAGACTTGAAGTGGTTAGAAACCGAGTATATAAATCTATAGATAGTAATGAGTTATTAGTAAAACTTGGTCTTTCAGTGCTATGCAAACTAATGTCAAACATTCTTCTTTAGTAAGCTTTTTTCTATTCTGAATTAAATAGGATAATACTAAATATATTGAACTGATGTTGACAGTGTCGTTGGTGAAAAGTCACAAACTGAAACAACAATTACTCAGTGCTGTAGTCTTCAGTGTTGGTGTCTAGTTGATGATCACGAGGCTAATAAAAACTACCATCCACTTCCATTAATTTGTCCATCTTAATCATTATATTTATAACAGAACAATTCTGAAAATATGATGACTGGAATTTATGAAGCACTAAATAGCTAGATTTAGGCACGAGCACTATGGATTTAATAAAATATTGACGCTTGTTATCACATTCATCTGAAGTAATATTTTAGCTTCTTTCAGGCAGTCCTAAGCTTGTGGAACCTAGCACATGTTTGGTCGAAGTCTCTATATTACATAAACACCGAAATATGAATACTAAAGTATTATTATTGGTGGTAGTACAAAGCTTTAGTGTTAAAGGTGATTCGCGCAATAAGGCACAAGATGATTTTGACATTCACAATCTGAGAGTAAAAAAAGTGGATCTGTGCTGTCACTGCCACTGTAAGTATACCGACTCCAATAAGATGTCTGCATCTACGAAAACACCTTAGATTGGAAGTCACCGACTTTATGCATTGATACCACATTTTGGTTTGGCTTTCCCTAACTGTAAGTAGATATGTAGCTTCAGTCAGAGTAAATAATGATGTGCTGCCCTGGAATAAATTTGTTTGAAGTTGAGAATACAGATGACTGGATTCTGACACGATGGTTTGACTATAGCTTCCCGAGCACAAGTCCTAATTTTATGGCATAGTGGATGACCACTCCTAAAGAATTCCGATCTGCAACATAGCAACTGGCTCCTTAGTCCACCATACCATACAAACTCTTAATGAAAATACTAAGGATTTGTATAATTTAAAATTTAGCGTCGTTAGCATGCTAATTCTTCGACTTATACGATAACGTTAAAGCCATATATGGTTCTTCTTATCTACCAATAGTTTCAGCTGGAGATTAACATATCTTCAAACCATACTTGCTGGACTCATTTGCATCAACAAATTCATGAATACTAATAGTAGTAACAATAACATATAGTACCACTGCGTTCTTATGTAATACTGAAATAAATCCACTTTTTCTTACCTGTTAAAACAATCTTCCCAGAAACAAAGACTAATAAGACTATTTTTGGTTTAGTCATACGATAAATTAACCCAGGGAATAATTCTGGCTCATATCTAAAATTAGAAAAGAACAATCCATATGAGATATGATCGAAATGTACTGTATTGATTCACTACAAAGACAAACATGACATAAACTACTTCAGGACATTTGATATGGTAGATAAAACATTAATGAAAGTTACCATATACACGTTAAACCCGAGAACATTATACTTCCATTTGGTTGAATTAGCTATTGTTAGTAGTACCGAAGAAATATGAGTGCATCTATCGATCCAGCATGATTCCCTCTTTGGTTTAGGCCCTAGAGATGGTGCAAATTAATGACTTGAAGAGTTACCAGACATTTTAAAATACGAGTCAGTAGAAATCGTGATGTGGTTTTCTTTTGAACTTCTTAAAACAGTGAGATGAGCTTTGCTAACAGAAAGAAGTCTTCTGATTGTAATTTCAACCAAACTATATCTCCCATTATTGTCTACTGACTTTTTTGTTGGCATTCCCCTTAACTCATTTCTTCACTAAGTTATCTCTATATTATGTAGTGCAAACTATTTCTCGTGCCTAGTTGTAGTAGGTTTTACGAATTAAATAAATTAATAAAGAACACGGGAAGAATAATGCGTTTAGATAAAGGAATTAACAACTGGATATTTGTGATTTGTTTAGGAAGCGTTTTTACTGTGGGAAGCAGTTAGAAAGTAGTAACATCAGGATTAAGCACACTTTATGATTTTAGTTTCTATACATTGTTCCGTCAAATAAAAGCAAAGTAGAACGTAAGCAGCTAATTGCAGTGAGTCCTAGAGGTAAAGGCCTTCGGAATAACGTACGGACTGATAGTGACTCGCGAAAAATTACACCAGTCGTCAGGACTATGGACAGAATCACGCTTTATATCAATTTAACTTCACAATACTAGGTTGACTCTTCACTTAAGATTCTTTTCTAGATGAAGTAGTGGGCAGATGAAACGTACCGAGTAGTCACTTGCTCGCCCGCAACAGGATAGCTAATTTAACACTAATACAGAGATTGTTTTAACCTAAAACTTAACTGCCGCCCATATCAACCGTTTCTGCTGTTCAAGTACTTTAGCAACTGAGACAACGTTTTCAGTATTGCAATTTAGACCATCTAGAATTGTATTTGATAATAAAAATAAGGAACCAAATTAATTGACAAATACAACTACTTGCAACCCTATTTAACCGATCACCCTAATTTATTGGTTAATTGATTTTTCAACTATCAGACTAAAAAGTTCACGTTAGTGAAAATGGTGTATAAAGAAATAGGAAATTAGTTTAACAGCTACTTATGTATCGTTCGACTAAACAATCAGGGTATAGTATGCCAAAAGACCTAGAGAAAGTATAGTGACAAATAAGAAACTGTAAAAGCACACATACTTGAAGTGCTATTCTGAATTGTATGGCATATTGTGAAACACAGATAATGGATTCTAGGAGTATTGATTTAGGTTTTATACTCTCATTCTATTATTCAGAATTATTAATAAATAGTAAATATTGCATTCAGATACAAGTTTCTTTATTCAATTTGAAATGAGAGAAACCTTAAGTTTTTTGAAACATAAAACGATAGAGAATAGAAAGATTTTGTGAGTAGTAGTAAATATTCTATTATAGAGAAAAAACCTGGTACAGTTGCAGATAGGAAAATCGTCTAGTTTTTTATTGACGGAAAAATACTAAATGTTTCAATAAACACTGAAACAAGCGAATGTCCGGCGCTTTAACCGGATTCCAAATCAATGGTGCACATGGGCTCCAGTATCCTGCAGGAACGAATGGCGTATGGACCAATTGTTGGTCACCGGCTTCCATGGGACTGCATCTCCTTACGATGCTCCACTGTCTTGTGGATCAAACCTTCAGGTCGAAGGCTCGGGGAGTGGCCCCCTAAGATAACCACTTGCTTCGGTTTGGGCACCCGGGCAGTATCACAGCCCTCACACATATCGAATGAGATTTATGTGGCGCATATGTATTTGGTGCCTCCCTTGAAACAGGCTTAATTACTAGTTCAGCTATTGTTCTTTAAGTTGCCACAAAAACATCCTTATTAAGTAAAGGAAAAGAAAACACCTTAAGAACTTACGTTGCAAATTGACCTTGTGACAATACTAAACCTTCAAGACGTATATGAAAGCGGACATCACATGAACCAACCATATTTTGAATTTTGAACTCTTTGAAATGAGCCTGAAACATATTACTTTACATTATAAACGAATATAAATTATAGTTGATTATTGTCATGGTGCAAACGTTTTGGAGTAAGACAGTACAAGGATTATGTGAGATAAAAAAAGGACATGGATGAATGACAAAACGAAACTACTGTTTTCATTACTAAATTAATTGTGAGTAGCTTCAATGTCACTTCCAATTGTGAAATAATAGTAGACTACAATTGATTCACTTTACTAATTTCCTAGTCCATTACATTTAATTGGTTGGCAGGATTATTAACCTACGATTAATTAGCAAAAGAATAATATTGAAAATATTCGATGGAAGTAATTAGGTTACTGAATTATTGATTTCAATGTTTGATATTCAGACAGTCTAACCAACACAGTTAAAATAAATTATATCAAGTTACACAAACCCTGTGGAAGTTGTTTTAATAGAGCATAAATCACATACCACTCTTATGACATTTCAGTTTGATGGTATTTAGTCTCTTCCAGACATACATTCTATGTTAGCCAACATAGTATCTCGGAGTGAGTTGTGGATGAGTGTGTGTAACACAAGCTTAACCAGCTAGGAAGATGGTTTACAAACTTTCCAACAAATAAATTTCCAATTAGTGCTCTACGTTCAACTTGGGTATTATTTCGTTAGTGGTATTACTATGCAAAAGCAATGGTTCTACAGGTTCTTTGATCAGCTAACTTTTAAACACCAATTTTCACAGTAAAGTAATGAAAAACGAATCGAACATCGGAGTGACTTTATAACACATCCACTCAACTGTAAATAAAATTCAAATATGTAGAAATGTAATAAATTGCTCTCGAACGCCCTGGTACAGCTGAGGATGAGAAGAGCTCGCTTTACTCTTCGAAATGCTTCTATACGACTAAACGTTTATAAACTGTCGGGGAAGCCATAATATCTACCTTGCGGATTAGACCTTGACGTCAGAGGCTCAGGGATTATCCTTCTATGAAGACCACCTAGTTCAATTTGAGAATTACATATTTTATATGGTACATCCTGTATATGGTGATTAGTTGTACCTGATAAATAAATATAAACGGATAGTAAAAAAAGACACTGCATACAACAGATAATACAATGACAGAATTACTTCAAATCCAAGCCTTTGAATAATACGAGCATATTTTCTTGCAGCTAGTCTTGCTTGCTCTTCACTTTTTGCACCTGTACACACCATTTTACCAGAAGAAAAAATCAAAGCAGTTGTTCGAGGTTCACGTATACGCATTATAACGGCAGCAAAACGTTTTGGATTATATTCAGCATTTCGAGCACTAAGTGCTATATTCTTCAAATTTAATTTACATCCTAAATATACGGTACATACAATATTCCTTATTTGAAAACAAAGAACAAGTAAAAACTAATTAACTAAGATAGAAGTGTATTAATATTAATGGTAAATAATACTTAATTGACCATAAAGTGATCAAATCACTGATCTCGCATATTATCCATCTTTTTTAGTAAAATAAGTAATATAGTCAGAACAAAGTGTGAAAAGAATTAACGAAATTATTTACACTTACTTCACTGGTTGAAATCATGAGTCAATTGAAGCTAGACCACGATGGTAAACCTGGAAGCATTGGACGGCCGTTTCCTCCTAGTATGGAACACCTCAGCGATGCACATCCACGATCCCGCATCCCGCGACATTCGAACCCAGGACCTATCAGTCTCGCGCCAGGCGCTTAACCAACTAGACCACTGAGTCGGCATCCAACGGTGTTAACGTCTAACTTCAACCAATCAACGAAGTTGCGCCACTGTACACCATTGTCTTCAGTGAGTTCCTATCTCACAACAGACCTGGTTGAACTCCACTGGTAGCGACTTCTCACTAGAACTCCAGGAGTGTCTCCTGAAGTCAGTCACTAGTGAGCAGGTGATTATTATTATCAGACTGGGTTTTGTGGAGATTTTTAGAAATTTCACGGGTTGAAATTATGAGTCAATTGGAGTTAGACCACCATGGAAAACCTGGAAGCATAGTGGTCTACTTTCAATTGACTCATGATTTCAACCCGTGAAATTTCTAAAAATCTCCACAAAACCCATTCTGATAATATTTACACTTACATTGAAGTCGCATGGACAAAGCATACCCTGACATCACCAAATATGTAAATTAATTGGAAATACCAGCTGAGAAGTTTAGGTATGACGATCGAAAACCGATTGCAGTTAAGTACTTGTTGTTATTATTATCTACTCCCAATATTTTCTTATATTTGAGCAACTTTGTTGTTCTGCATTTGAAATATATATTTTATCTCAGTCATGTTCAATGTAAGATTTGACATGCATATGCGTCGGGCCCAAGAAGTTGCAACATCACACTGCCACAATGAGATATAATTATCAAAAATCCAGGAGTGGTAACAGTATCAGTGGAAGAAAACATTTGGCGTAGGACGAAGAAATATAATATAAGCAGATTTCAGGACTCAGAATCTAAGAGAAGACAAAGACTGAATATACCTGTACCATGGCGAACGATTCTGAACAATTTACACACTATTAAAATTTTCTCAATGATGTATTTTACGTCATAACAGACTATATTTAAATCATAAGAACATTACAGATTGTGGATTATAATAAACTTGAGGAAATGACAACAAAGCTGTTCACTATTGATTGATTTTCGACGTCGATTCGACAAGTATTTTTAGTCATCATTTCAAGTCACTGAGCAGATAAGAACATGACATTTAAGTTGACCATAATAGGAATGTAGTACAATACAGTGGAAAATCTATAAGAATATTATAATGAGATAACTAATCTAATTAAATAAAAACGATAACTGAAACATTTAAACAGATAGTTTCTTCATAAACTAATTTCAAGATCCCAATCAACCAAGTTTCAGAAAACAGAAACATTGACCAACTGGTTAAATCTTTGCGATTAAGAAACGTAGAACCCGGTACATATATGCATCGATCTCGGTTGTCAGAAGGAGTATATCGTAGATAAAATAGGTTAACACATGGTATTATTTTGAGAGGTCAGTACGTAATTATGAGCGGAATATGACGACTATTACAACTACTCTACTCGACCGTTGCTGCCACCTAGGCGTGGTGGTCGGGCTTGCCTATCGCAACTAACCAATCGAGCTATATTGGCTGGAACAATCGTTCCTTAAGGTCCTACCATGTCAGACAGGTCGGCTGAAGAGTGGTAATACTAAAAGCAGCAAACCCAAGGTCCAAGGGCGAAGTCGTACTGCTGACTGTGCGGTGTGATGGAAGTAAGGTGTTTCCTTCAAAAAACCAGCGTAGCAGCGATGCTACCCTCCCACAAGGAGGGGTGGGGTTACAAAGGGTCGACCCTAAAAATACACACCTCGCCTTATCCCACGGATATTCTTCTCCGGTGGTAAGGTCCCAACAAGTACGGAGCTAACACGAAAACTACCCAAAGAAGGTAGTACGTGACCAGCCTCGAGCAGTTGTTTCTTGGGCACTGAGGTCACGCTTTCAGGTCACTAAAACCACCTCTAAACCAATTTCCTCTTCAGGTACCTCCAGAGCAGCCCTTCCACGGTGTGAGCAACCGCGAAGTGATAACCTCTAACAGCACTCAAGATCACTGTATTCATAACCGATCTTCCTCTTCACTTCCCATCATTCCTCCTCCTTACAACACTAAACTTCCTCTTTTCGCTTCCTCCTCAAGCGCAACCATATCCAACGATTCTAGTGCGCGAAACACTATCTCAGGCCTATTGAAACCTTACTCCAAACTGCGCATTGGAGTCTTCAACGTATGTACCCTGTGTGAAATCGGCCAACAGGCCTTCTTGGTTAAAACCCTAGAATCTCGTACCATTGATGTATGCTGTGTCTCCGAGACACACAAACAGGATCCTAGTCCGGCCATTCACTTGACCTCACCTCGCCAAAATGGAGAGCCGACGAGATACACCCTCCATGTATCTGTTGACCCGATGGCTAGTTCTCGTGCACTGGCAGGTGTAGGCATAGAATTAAGTACGAAGGCAGAACAAGCACTACTAGAATGGGTCCTTGTTAACAGTCGCCTATGTGCGGTTCGGATAAACGTCTGCGTAAGAACTCGGAAGGATAGGGACACACATCTTTGTTTTTTCATCGTTTGTCTACGCTCACACTGACTGCAGCCTGAATAAAATAAAAGATTACTTTTACAGAAAGCTCTCTGTACTTCTTCATATATACTCAGTCATAGTACTTATAGCAGGGGACTTTAATGCACAGGTAGGTAGCTTAAACCAAACAGGAAGACATTTAGGTTGGTATTTTAGCATTCCGGCTCAGCGAACAGATAATAGTGACCGTCTGATGCAACTGTGCTCAGACAGTCGTTTATTTTTAGCAAGCACTAATTTTAAGCTTAAGGAGAGGCATGGTCTAACATGGTGACCTCCTACACCAAACCAATGATGGACTCAAATAGACCATGTTGCCATTAGTCATTGTTGGAGAGGATTGACAGAAGACTGACACTCGTTCTGGAATACTTGTTTGAACTCCGATCATGCGCCTCACTGGACGCAGAAAAACTACACAAAGAAGATCCGTCGAAATTGAACTCAGTGACGAGAAAGCCGAAAGTAAATGCCGGGAACAACTGAGGTCACACTTAGGTAGTTCTGCAAACGAGGCTGACCCAGATGTTGCTTGGAAAAATAAACGAACAGCTGTGGAAACAGCAGTGACATATGTTAGTGATTTGAACCAAAGGGTTAAAAAAACCAATGGATTTCTGCTAAGTCTGTTGCACTGATGGATTCCTGTAAACTTATCCCATCAGGCTCTGAACACCATGAAGAATGAAAACAAATCAGATCTAGGTTAACCAGAAGACTAAGAAACGACCGTGAGCAGTAGTGGGCAAGGAAAGCAAAAGAGATAAAGAAGGCGGTGACTGTAGGTAACACCAGACAGCTTTCCAGACTAATGAAAGAAACTGGGATCAAGAAGTTAAATGTAGATGAGACGATCTCGGAAAAAGACGACACTTATCTGCTCTCAGCCCAGACGTTTAGAACGATGGGCGGAACACTTTAAGGAGCAGTTCAACTGGCCTTCAGCTACTCTACAACTACTCACCATTCCCAGACTGTGAATGGAACATTGAAGTAGGTCCCCCAACTCTAGCTGAAGTTCAAAAGGCAAAAGCTAATCTGAAACGAGGAAAAGAAGCTGGTCCAGAGGTCTTTAAGAATGGTGATCCAGTTTTAGCGATTAGGGTGACTAATATTTTAGCTAAGATCTGGGAGTTGGACGTAATCCCATCTGACTGGTCTCAATCACTGATTGTCCCAATATTTAAAAGGGGGTCAAAATCATCCTATGATAAACATAGATGAATTAGTTCGACTGATATAACATCTAAAATACTAGCCTCAATAATTATCAAGTGCCTAACAAAGACTCGTGAACTGAAAACACCAGAAAATCAGGCTGGCTCCAGACCTGGTCGTGGTTGCATCGACCACATATTCACCATTCGTCAGGTTCTAGAACACAGACATACTTATCAGCGTCCAACAATGACAGTTTTTCCTGACTTAAAAGCAGCATTTGACTCTGTTGACCGAGAGGTTCTGTGGCAGTGTCTGTCATTGAAAGGTGTACCTCAAAAGTACATGAACCTTGTGAAGGCTGTTTACTCGAACACTACTAGTTGAGTCAGATCTTATGGTGAACTGTTATCTGATTTTGCAACCTCAAGTGATGGCCATCAAGGCTGTATACTTTCTTCTTTTCTGTTTAATTTCATCATAAACCTACTGCTAGAAATAACGTTCTCGTCGACTGAATTTTCGGGCACTGATCTCTTACCATGAGGTCAACTTATCGACTTGGAATACGCAGATAATATTGTCCTATTTGGTGAAGATGATAAAATGCAGTCTTTTGGTAGCCCTGAACAACAATGCCACGATGTTTGGGATGCGTTTCTCCCCCTCTAAATGCAAGTTGTTGCTTCACGACTGGTCTGTATCAACACCTGATTTAAGGATAGGGAGTGAAGTAGTCGAACGCATCGACAAGTTCACTTATCTTGGAGGTCTGATCAGCCCAAATGGATTGGTGTCTGACTAAATCTCTGCACGGATTCAAAAAGCTCATTTGGCTTTTACCAACTTACGTCACCTATGGCGAAGACAAGATATCAGTCTCTCAATTAAGGGACGAGTATACCGCGCAACAGTTTGTTCTGTTCTACTTTACGGTTGCGAAATATAGTCAATAAGAGTGGAAGATACTCGTAAGTTAATATTATTCGACTACAGATGTCCTAGAAATATTGCTCACATCTGCTGGGATCACTGGGTAAGTAATAGTGAGGTTAGATACAAGGTATTAGGGAATGATGGTAAATCAGTTGATGATGTAAATCTTCATTGACTGAGAGGGTTGGGCCACGTGGTGCGTATGCCTAAACACCGATTACCACGACAGGCGATGCTGATTAGTGTTGAAGACGAATGGAAGAAAGTTAGGGGCCAGACCAAATCGTGGCATCAGCCCTTGAAGTCATTGACTTCAGGTGTGAACATTGTTGGTAGATGAAGACTACTTGGTTGGAGTCGCCATGACTATCGTAACCAATGGTTGGAGACCTTGAATAACATGGCTCAGAATCGATCACAGTGGTGTATGTATATACACTCTCTGTCTTCCCTTGAAATGTGAGACCAAAATTGCTTGCTATCTTTCTTTATGCCAACTAATTCTTTCTTCTTGTACTATACCCTTATACACAACCTTACTTCTTATATATTACTGCTTATACTCTTATTACCTCTACCACTACGGGATTTGAATCGACAACTGCATCTCTGTGCTAATGTGGTGTGGCAACTCGAACTGATGTACGTACGTACGAAGTTCTACGTTGTTACTGACTGACTGACATCCTATTGTTCTAAAGAGGTGTGGCAACTTGGACCGATTGACAACTCTAATTAATGAACAATTCGTACATACATATGTACCATCACAAGTTTCAGGTTACTTGTTGTAGAACTAGAAGACGAAATTTCTTGGAATCATTAAACGACGTTTTAATTGGCTGAACTTACTGTAATTGGGGTACCGGGATTGCACCATCTCGGTCTTGCAACGGAGTGGATAAAGTGAGCGGAGTACAAGGTGTTCTGCCTGGAATACTGGCGGCATTGTCAGATGCATGTAAGTTAAGATTGACTGAACCCCCAGGGATAAGTGGAGTTTTTTGTTGTAAACTTGAATCTCCTTGTAAAGGCAAATTGCCCAACAAGCTTCCAATACTAGCTACACTATGTTGCTGTGATAAGGGGCTGTAATGAAAAAAAATATAAGAGTTAATTATAAGATACCAATTTTACTCGTTAGAATGATGTGCATGATAATAAATTCTGGTAAACTATAAGATATAGTGTAGGTAGTGTATGTACCACAAAACCACATTTAAAAAAATAAGTTACACTAAATAATAATCATTAAACATACTTTCTTAATAAAGGATGTTATGAATTCATATTATACGCTTTTCACTTTGCTAATAAAGTTTCCAAGAAAAAAACATTACTGCAAAACAGTCATACAAAATGACCTACTTTGAGAGGTCATTATTTATTGATTAAACACATGAGCATAAATGGACGTTACTTGGTTAGAATCGGTCATACATACAGATCAATAGAGAAAAGCCGAAATATAGGACACCAAAGATTATCCATGTACAATAAACTTATTACAAAGTTTTGTTGTAAGGCTATCCCAACACTTTACAGTTACTACTGCCTTGTCTTATTTTTACTTTTAGATGACTTCTCTTACCGCTCTGGAACACGATAATTCGACTTATTAGGCTTTTACAAAAACGAAAGAGTACCAAGATGCCATTGTATTCAATGTAATAACCTGAAACGATGCGTTACTCGTAGCATAACGTGTTTCGCTACTGAATGCATCGAAGTTTAGATTACTAAATATTATGAAAAAGTACTTCATAAAAAGTGACATTAAGCTTTACGTGATCATTGCAATATAAAATTACAACTTAGTTTTTCATTGAGAGCACATCAATATCTGAAGTTTGCAAGCACTCTCTACAACTTGGCGCTACAAAACTTTCGTTTCACTTTCCTCCGAGTTAGTACATGAGAGGGATATAGGATAGTGTGGTATCGAGTTTTGAAGAACTTAGGAGCAGACGGTTTTATAAACGGTATTGATCACAGTTTCTACTTACTTTTGATCTTAGTCATATAGGTATTCCGGGTGAAATACTTGAGGTGAAGATGTACGAGATGCAAATGTCGCTAGAAAAACTAGCACCCAGTATTGTATATGTTTTTAGACAAAACACGGTGGTTATAGCTGCCATTGAAATCGAAGCAGGCATATAACAACCATAGATTGCAACAAAACTTGGCACCGGATGCAGTTAAATTAGTATTGTGAATAGCACAAAACAACATACGGTAGTGAAATCTGAAGTGTTAAGCTGGTGGTAAGTGTCCTTGAAACTCCGTGACTACACTAACCAGTTCTACGAGACAGTTCTACAACAGCTCTAACTAACAGAGATCTACATGATTATGATCCAGGGATTGGGGCAGGGAGAAGCTAACCATCCCAATAAAAGATAGACACTACCGTTAGACAGCAGTTGCATAGTTCATTACGAACATAGTTCAATCATACTTAGGATCCACATGTGGCTGTTAGCGTTTTACATATATCATCGTTCTGGAAATGCTGCTTAAGACTAATATAGATATTCGAAAGTCAGTCGAGTCACCACGTGGTGACTTATTACTTCTTAAACCTTTATTCAGGATGATAAGGCTGACTCTAGAGGAGTGAATATTAGAGGCATTTGGAACATTTTATCTATAAATATGAAGTGATCTGAAAATTATGGTAAACAGAGCACTACACTTAAGCAACAAAAAACACATCCGCTAAATACTTACTTCATAACCTAACAGTCCAACCAGAAGAACTATTTACCTAGAACAGCGACGTCGTACTATGTCCAAATGAATTTAAAATGCTGTGAGCGTCAAATCTCAACAAACTATTAGCCATCCTCTTGAATTAGAAGCGCATTATTTGGTTTCAGTACGGGACTTTCAATGCCCAATTGATTGTTAATATGACTAGACGGAACAGATGAAACTTACGTTTAACGAGTTTATGTGTGTATCATCAAGAGATCGCTGATAACCTCAGGTAGGAGGCAGAGATATTACTAAGTTGGTATGATACGAAACGGAGACAACTAGATTCTTAGTGAACATATCCAAAGGGGAATTGCATAGTTTGCAACATGTTTCAAATAGAATGCTATACAATCTGGAGTTGACTACGGCACTTAACACAAGCATATACTATCTGCATCACTGTAAGGTCATTTTGGAATACGATATCTGACTACACTTGTGACTGTCAAATGCCTTAGCTCGGTTAATATTGATTTATTTGCGTTCAGGTGTTTGGTTGATTCGAATGCCTCACACACGAACCTTTACCGTATCTCCTTGTTTAATTGTCTATCTACCTAGTTATCCATCTGTTGGTCGTGGTCCATTATCCTCCAAAATGAATAGCTCTCTAAGTCTTCGACATTTGCTGCTGGCCGCATTAGTTTTATTGAATTCACCAAGCTGAAGGCCCTCGGTCACGCATCCACAGCATATCACGAGTGGAGACGTCGTGTTTCACATCTTCTACGACCGCTAACGAACTTAGATTGGTCACTTCTCAATATATCGATAGCTTATCAGCTATATCTTCGAACCTCTTCGCTTCTGACATCTGATTTGACTGGGTTTGCATACTTTGACTACAAAAGATGTTACTGGTCAAGGTGTTGTGAAATTCCGAATACTTGTGGCATCTTTGATTACATTGAACGACTAATAGTTGAGACAGATTATTGAATTTACATTCTGGATAGTTTCAATTCGTCTCAACTCAATACAGATTAGACCAGACATCCAAAGCTGTCACGGATTTATTCCACACAATACGATTGCTGGATATCACGTTGACAATATTATTCTTATTTTAATAAAACTGCGTGTGACTTATGGTACCAGTGTCAATATACGTTCAGTGCATTAGTGAAAGGGTGTAATTCTGATATTGTCCCGGAAACACAACTAATATTTGATGAAATTGTGTCCACTCAGTCCTATTACACTTTGGTATTTTGTTACTAATGTAAATACTAGTTGGTCCATGTAATTTCACATATGTTCATGAACATTAGTATTCTAGTTCTCACTTGATTCATTTGTTCTCGGTCACCGTGTATAAAAATGACGAATATATTGAACATCCGCTGTTTTCCACCTTACCTCAATGTGAATTTGGATTTTTCGGAAGCATTAACTTTTTATCCTGACTGAAACCTTTCCTCAAATGCAATACAACGTCAGTGAAAAGTTATATTTTTTGAAATGCCCTTCATAAAGAGGACAATCTGTGTAAATCAGCAGCAACGCAGATTGTAGTGCTAAAGACCCGTGTATCTGGTGCTACTACACACGAACGATTCATCCTAGTTTTTGAACATACTTTAGAAACTCAAAGTCCATGTGACTAGTAAGTCACTTCTGTTTCGTATTACCTCTTTTGTTTTCATAGAAAACGATGCCCTTCAAAACACACACATCTTATTTCTATGTCCTTGTGTTTCTGTGCTTACGAGACTTTCTTGTACTTAAGTATGTGTCCGTCATTTATTTTAACTGCTGTCTCCGTCACACTACTTATTATCTATTGTGAATTATACTCACGCTCGTAAACAGTAGTATGGACGAGCTTAGATCCTTACGTTCTGTGGTATTCGACGTTGAAGTAAATATTTTCGGATTATCATACAAAGTGTGCTTTAATAATAAATATATTTTTTGTTATATCCCAATGAGTAAGAAAATTGCATTTCTGGTGTTTCCTGACTTAATGTAAACTATTTCTTTAAAGTAAATAGATAACCAACATTAGATTATTTATATAAATTATATAATATACCCTTGTAGGTCAGGGTAATTTTACATTGGTTTGCAGGAGAACCAGGCACCATCAACACTTCCGCGCGACGACCAAGAAAGTACTACTCAATCCCGTTTAACAGGAGAGTCAGACACCACTCAGGCTTACATTTTATAACCCGAACAGTACAGCTCATTCCTGCTTCACAGGCGAATCAGACACCATATAGGCTTTAACGCTACAGTCTGAATAGTGTAGTTCAATCCAAACACCGTGGTGGACCAGACATTAGATTAACACAAGTTTAAATAGTAAAAAGGAAACAATGCAAATGCCCAATTTATTTGAAACTATCAGGTCCAACTTTGGTATGGATATCTATAAAGTGGGTTTTAATCTCATTCTTTCAAAGTACACAATACACTTGAATCTGACTGACCTGGGCTGATCGACAGTGATCAAAATTCTTACTCTTTATTGCTGAGTTACCCTCATTCTATTCACTATAAGATTTTTACATAAACTCAGAAACAAAATTGCTTGATATATCAATCTCAATTGTGGATCATTAGTTAACCGCTTACAAAATATCTTATATCTCCCTTGATACAAGCAATAAATGTATAAAAATCCGAGATTTTTCGATGAAGCACAACTAATACAAAGACTAAATCAATTCATATATAACCAGTCTATGGGACAAATAACTTGTAAACGTCTTTTTTTATAGAACATTGACACGTCACTACCCAGTGATTAATCACTTGTAAACAGTGACAAATTCTAATTACTTTTTGTTTTCACAAACTACAAAATAGTAATTATATAATGAATATTCCATTGAATATCCGATTATATTGATGTTCCTAAGCATTACTTGATTCTTCACTTCACATTTCTAAAGCTTAAAAAAAAGTCAATAAAGAGAAGATGTAGAATTATGGCCTATTACGATATTGGCCCTGCTCAAATAAAAGACCTAATCTTAAAATCGTAGATTTGTTATGATGTAAATGCCTAATCTATAAGATCTTACATGGAAGTCACATTATTGTCTACCCTGATTTATCGTATCGTGACAATTATTATTATATGGTGGAAACACGTTTAGATTAGAGATAGAGCAATATATTAAAAATGGATAAAAATAATTTTATATAAGACCACGCCTGCAAGGCCGATCCATACCATCCGTTTAATTCGAATTAACTCAATCCATTTTTCCCGCTTCCTCTATCGTTGGGTTTTTCTCCGCTTTAAACGTTGAATATCTATGCAAAGACCAAACTGGCAGTATTCGGTTTGAATGCATGACTGACGAATCAAAAATTATTTGAATAGGCCACACTACATTCTTTTGTATAGCGTACCAAGCGTTTTTGAGATACTCGTATTAAATTATCTCAAAACACAAACTCTGTGCACAATCTAAACGTTTCTAATTCAGGGGATAGAACAAATTATATCAAAAATACAAAATACCTCAAACAGTACAGCCTGTGCTATACAGTCAGAAGTTTCTCTAACGCAAAGTAGTGCGCTAAACAATAAAAGAAACACTTAATACCAAAGGTATCGATACCTGAGAATCAATAAAAATATCCCCAACCAGATGAGATTCCAGCAATCCTCCTAAGCAGACAGTCAAGAAGTAAAGAGACACACGCTGAACAACGCCGTGAACTTGAAATTAATCAAACACGACCTTACTGTCAATAGTCCAGCAACATGCAATAGAAAATTAGGAAACAAGAGATAAATATTTAATCAAAACCACATAATAACGGCTCAGACGAGGAAGGTTAGAGAATAAAAGGTTAGGTTAAACGAGATGTGAACAAAGGTTAAAATACACGACGGGAAGGAGAAACAAATAAATGACAGTACTGTCCTACAAAAAAGCTGCGGAGGCCTGCTTGGTTTTCGGTACAATTCTTTCATGCTTGCTTAACGCACCTGTAATTTGGGATATCTGTGTGTGGCCCCATGATAAACGTAATCAACACTTCGCGTTTGCCTTCTGAATAATATACCGTCGGGGCGTTATCTAGTGACGGTTATCAAGACAAACTGTATACGAAGTTTAAGGATTATACTGAATACCAACCACCACAATTGTTTTGTATTTATGATTCATTTTAATACTTGAAATATTTATCATTTTGAAGATGCCACTGGTATTCAGAGTTTGACAATGCCTTAACGAGTAACACCTACTATGAATCGCACCCACCAAGTGAAATCAAAAGACAGAAGCGAGGAGGTTCGAAGATATATTTGATAGGCTATCAATATACCGTGGATCGAATGATCTAACCTGACTAGCGATTGCAGGGGATGTTGAGTACGGCGTTCTCACTCGTGATCTTGTGCGAATGCATGACCGAGCGCCTTCAGCTAGGTGAGTCCATTAAAACTAATATGGTCAGCATTTAATGTCGAAAACCTACAGAGCTCTTTATTTTGGGGGTTTATTTACCGCTACAATGTATAAGGACAGTTTCTGACCTCTTAAAAATACTTACATAATTTTGGAGATGCTAGATCATCAGAGATCACTTAGTTAACTCCTTATTTCCGTAATTTAACTATGGAAGTTTGAATTTTCCATTTTCCTACCGAAAGTGGTTATGATTACTTCCAATTCGTGTTTCCCATCTGGATGGATCTGAAGCGTCTTTGGTTCATTTTCACTTTTGGTACGCTATTTTATGACGCTTTTTAATGACATTTTTATATTGTATACATTACGTATGAATCAAGTGCTTGCCTTTTGTTTTTCTGGGATGCTTGTGGAATTATATGTTTTCCCTGATAACTCTAGTCTTCTTCTAATTAGCTGGGCTGGAGTGTAAAGGATCAAGTATTCCTTCATTTCTTCAATTAATTAATACTATAGACAGTTGAAGCCCAGTTAGCAAATTAACCAATTATTTCTTATGAAACTCTGTTGATTATAAGAAAATTATAGCGTAAATC